TAGGAATATTGTAGATGTCATTTTTTTTTGATATTTTAAAATTATACATGTAAATTTTTAAATTTTTTTAAATGTGTATTTAAATATATATATATAAATATATATATATGTATATATGTGTGTGTATGCAATTGTGTGTTTGTGTTTATAATACACAGCGCATACCTTATATCACTTATATAAGGACGGCTTTTATGGGATCCCCTAGATGTGACTCCTAATGTAGAGGAAGGATTTCGTTTGTTACATTTGGCTCTATTCGCAAATCGAACACACTATTGACGCTTATTTTTTAAGTGACAGTTATTTTTAGCCCAATGAGATTGGAAAGTTACAGTCAAGTGGCTGATAAAAGAACATCTCTTTACCCTTGTGTTAAAGCTTTGAGCATTGAGCATAATTATACAATTTTTATAAAATACGAATACACATTAATATGTATTGTAAGAAACATGTCCTTGGTGTATTCCTAAAACCATATGGGATTCCTGGAAAAACATACATATAGAAAATACTGGTGGATATATATATATAGCTCCTCCATACTTTTTATATTTTGTTTTAAATATTTATATCATATACCTCTAGATGTCAATTCATGCTGCTGTAATTAAATACTAAAGGAGTAATTTGATGCCAGCCTTCTTATACCGAGTTAGGAGAATTACCAATGTCTTTTCTGGATTCTGGTTGGGTATTAGGCTTGGGAAAATTACCCCGTTATCCAATCAGTTCCTTTATATTTTATTGCCGTCAGCAGAAACAAGATATATTATCCTGTGTGGTCCTATGAATGTAACATTTGCTATATTATCACTTTTACAGTGTATGTTACCGACAACGATTTCATTTCACAAGCAGAATTCTGTCGCTTTATATTACATATGACATTGAGGTATGAATTGTACTTTGTTCGCTAGTCCTGCCAACATATGTTATTTTCAAATAATCAGGCAGGCCAGGAAATATTTTTCCATAAAATGTCTGTTTATTTGAAACCTACCTGGGCAGAATAAAGAGGACTGCATCAGGGGCAGCCAGGGGCTGGGATGACAAGTAGCAGCAGCAAGTAGTAATAACAATACATAAGTAATATAGACAGCGTAGTAATAACAATCACACTGTCAGATCGCACGAATTCTACAATCGTATCTGTGTACATATATGGAAGGGCAAGATCCGGGAAGGATTTGAAGCTGCTGATGTCATTGCAGATAGGACAAGGGTGATGTCACATGTAGATAATTAGGCTTGGATTAAACATTTTGGGATCTCCACATAATGAGCCTCATTCCTGTAAGTGATACATCATTTTTGGAAAGCAATGCTATTGAACACAATCCATAATTTACTGATCTGTTATTTCTATCGAAGAAGCTTCTCCAGGATATTTATTATGTCATGTCCCCGAGTGGCTGGAGAAGGCCAACAAGTCATTTCACAGAAAACATATGTTCTGTATTCATTCAAGGAATTGTGCAAAGAACAGGAATTCAAGTACACATCGCATTAATTATAACATGAATATATTTACACATTCTGTATATTAATGACACAAGTCT